TATTATTTTAATAAGATATATTAAGTGTTAATATTTTAATTTTGCGGGCAGAAATGTGTTAAATTTTTTATTTGATAGTTATAAATAAAAAAGAAAATAAAAAAAAGTTATGTCTTAATTTTTATAATAAATAAATTTTTTTTTGATAATTATAAATTATTAAAGTTGGACAGGTAAGCAAGATAAGAGAGCATAATAACAAAGAATAAAACTTTCCCTCTTAAGTACTTTTATTGTGATGGATACACATAATATTTTGTGGTTGGTTAAAAAATATTATTAAAATAATTTTAATAGGTTAAGAATAATATTATTTTTTTAAAACCTAAATTAATATATGACATTTGTTAATTGACCAATAACTTTTTGGTGTCCATAATTATACTTACACAAATTTTTTATCATTCATCCTTTATGTTTAATAATTAAGTTTTATTCATATTTAAAAAATAATTACCTTTTTTATTTAAAAATTGTTGTACCTATGATTTTGATGATTACAAAACACATTTGAATGACTAATTGATTTATTTAAGTGTGTAGTTAAGTTGCTAAAAGATTGCAAGTAAACTTGGACTATACTTAAAAATAGACCAGAAAGGCTTGAATATCTGCAGAGAGCCAGCTCTTGAAAGCTGCAGCCTGCTCTGGTGAAATGGAAGTGCAGAGAACCGGCTCTGGAAGCTGCAGCCGGCTCTACGGGTAAAGATTTAAAAGTTCGTTGCTTGGCATGTGTGGAGAAAAGACGCAGAGCCGGCTCTAACTTTGTAGCCAGCTATAAGGGCGCATTTAATGCACAACAGTCAACTTATTTGAAGAATATTTAATGTATTTAAAGTCAGAGTTCCAAAGCCGACTTAAAGTTTTGTAGCCAGCTCTCGAGGAAAATAGAATGGGCTGCAAACCTGGATAGTCGGCTTTGAAAGTGTAAGCTGGCTGTACAGAGCCGGCTTTAGGAAGCTAAGCCGGCTCTCCTAACAATCCTGCAACTGGAGTTTTGTGTCCTGCAGGGCATTTAATGACCCCCAACGGCTAGAAACGGTTATTTTCGAGTAAGGGGCTATAAATATAGTTGGTAACAAATCTGAAGAAATTTGGAGAACATTATATTGAATATCTTTACCTACCAACTTGTGCTTTAACTAGAGATTTTGATCTTTGAGAGATCTTTGTTTGTAATCCTCTTCTTGTGCTATTAGTGAGTGATCTTGGGGGTGTGTTGATTCCTTCAAGAGTGATTTATTGAGAGGATTTGTGGAGTTTCCATTGTAAAGGGTGAGGTTTAAGAGAAATACTCATCTTCTTGTAAAAGGATTGAGTGGCTTCTTTAAGCCACTCTTGCTGTTGTTAGTGGAGAGTGTAGAGAAAATCCTTGGTGAGTGAAGCCAAGGTAGAAGACTAGGCTTCAAGTGGTTGAACCGAACCTCTATAAATCATTGAATAAGTTCTTCTTCTCTACTCTCTTTAATTTTGGTTTTGTGATTGCAAAAAGGAGAGAATTTTTGGAATTCCAATTCACCTCTCTCTTAGAGTACATTGAGTCAACAAAAATTATGATAATTGAAAGTAAAAAAATAAATTATTAAGATTTTGTAAAAATATAATATATAAAATTTACGTGTAAGTAAATTTTTACTCGGCCTATATATTACAATTCAAATAGTTTGGAATATAAAACATTTTTTTGTATATATAAGTTAAAAGTGTATATCAATCATAGCTTTTAAAAAAATAGACTCCCAACCTTAAACGACCTTGGTTTATTCGATTAAAATTTAAATCAAAATTTAAAAATTTATCTTATTAAATATTGATGATATAGATTTGGAAACCGATTAGATTAGAATGTATTATTAGTTTTTAAATTTAAGTATCAATATTTAATCGATTAAAATTTAAAATTTTAATTTAAAATTTAACTAAATAAAAATTGTTGATATAGATTTGGAAACCAATTA